GTGTAAATACTGAATAGTTTCTCTGGTGTGAGAAACTGAAAGTGTAAATAAGGATTAAAATGATTAAAATGAATAATTGGTAATTTGAAATAGGAAGAAAAGGCCCATAGGGGTAGGGGAAGTGGGAGGGGAAGGGGAAAGGAAAGAAGGGAAAGGAAAAATTATAAGAAAAGGAAACAATGGAAACAAAGTCTTCGTAAATAGGGAAGGGTGGAGGGGGTGAAGCGAGCACAGGGAATGTGGAAAAAATAAGAACCAAGAGACATCATGGTCAGGTACAAGCACCCAATGATAAATGTAAACCTATTGTATAGCTAAAATGTACCAATAAAAGAAATTAAACAAAAAAATCTATCATTTCTCATATATCAGCAATTCAGAGTTGAAGAATTTTGAAAACACCTTTTCAATTTCAGAAGTCAAATTTTAAGTATGATAAATATGTTTTGTCATTCATTGTAGCTCTCTTGATGAGACGCTAATATTTGAGTTTTCGTTGTTATAGATTAAATCTAAGAATAAAACCAATGTAAAAATATTGATTTGAGTTTTAAAGATTTCTTTCTCTAAATTTAAAATATACGGAAAGATGGAAAGGTTTGGGTTTCTCCCTGGGTGGATGTAGGAGCCTAGGTGTCACCCTGTATGCCATCTCTTCACTATTTACCACAACAGAACCAATTAAAGATAATGTAAAGATCATGTTAAAGTGGGAAAGGAAGTGGCTGGGCATGGTGCACGTCTGTAATCCCAGCACTCAGGTAGCTGAGGCAGGAGGATCACTGTGAGTTCGAGGCCAGTCTCAATGACACAGTGAAACAAACAAAGTGGGAAAAGAAGTGACAAAAGGCTGGGTATGGTGGTGCATGCTTGTCATCCCAGAACTATGGAAGACTAAGGCCGGAGGATTACAAGTTTGACCCCATCCTAGGCAACTAAGCGACCCTGTCTCAAAATAAAGAATAAAAAAGAGTGGAGATATCTATCTATCTATCTATCTGTCTGTCTGTCTGTCTATCTATCTATCTATCTATCTATCTATCTATCTATCTATCTATGTGTGAAAGCTCTGGCTTCAATCTCTAGTATAACACACACACACAGACACACATGCACTCACACACACAGACACACACACATGACAAAGAACAGATGCAGGGTAAGGAATATATGTAGAGGCCAGGGGATTCTTTTTTACAGATACTGTTGTTTTTTTAGCACTTTGCTTTTCTTTGCTGTGTCAACAACAATGGTGGGGGGGTTGTTAAGTAAAGTAAGTGCTTAAATGCTACGCTGGCGTTGGTGGCAAAGTGACCAAAGGGTGAGTGGAAGAGTGGACATTTCTCTTCCATCAGCAGAACCACAAGATGGGCAAGTGGTTCCTGCCACAGCCCCCCCAGGTTCACCAATCTTTCCTTCAATTCTGTGAACTTAGTGCTTAAATACTGACTGCACACACACACATGCACACACAGATACAAACACAGACACATGCACATACAACATGAGCTATGATGGGACAGACAGCAAAAGAAACAATGGCTCTAAAGTTGCATTGCTTCCCTCTTTCTCTGGTGTTAGTATGTTGGCTAAGAGAAGTTTTATACTTGGCACCTCACTGCAGATCTGGTGTTTCAAAGTAGTATCTTTAAATAGAGTAGGCCATGGGAACCACATACAGTTGTGCAGGTTATGGACTGTACATGAACTACAGTGTGAATGATGTGCCCTACGCCATGCAGCATACAAGCTGCACAACTGAATGTGACAGCCCTATTGGGACCCTAAAAATTTTGGAATGAGGGCTGGGGATTTAGCTCAGTGGCACCGTGCCTGCCTCGAAAACTCAAGGTCCTGAGTTTGATCTCTAGTACCAAAAATACAAAAAAATTTTGGTATGAAAGACAGAGGACTTGGCTGTGTTAGTGAATCTAAGGAGACAAGTTGGGAAATAATTTGGTGAGGGAGCAAAGAAGTGTAGGTCTGAGAATGAGAGGAGTCACTATAGCAGCAGCAGCAGCAGCATGTAACTCTCTTCCGGTGCCTCACCAGAAGCTCTCTATGCACCTCCTCATGCGGGTGCTACCTTTGACCCATCATGGATCTTATAACGGAAACCATAGCCGATCCTTCAACACTCTGTTCCACCTCTCTTATAGTATGTTTGAAATATTGAGATTCGTGTTAAAAGAGTCGATTAATAATTTCTGAAAGTGTCATACCTACTATTAAATTTATAGAGACATGCACATAATTTATTTTTGAAACAGGGTCTCACTACGTAGCCTAGGCTGGCCTTGAACTCGCAACAATTCTCCTGCCTTAGCCTCCCAAATTCTGGGATTACAGACTTGTGTCACCATGTCCGGGTGTAAGGCTTATAATTTTTAAAATCTACTTACCCTTACATTGTTTTACATAGTTTTCCATTAACTTTGTCTTTTTCTGTTTTACTTTTCTTTCCTCACATTTTTTCCTCTGAGAAAGGAGGAGACAGATGAGACAGAAGGATGAAGAAATTAGAAGAAGATTTGATATGAGGGGAGAGAGCCAGAGGAGAAAAGGAAAAGATGAAGAGAGATCATTAGAGGGAAAGAGAGGAAATGAGAAAGAAAGTAGGGTACAAAAGCGGGAGAGAAAAAGGCACAGAAGGAGAAAGAACTTAATTTGGGTCTTAAATTCAAATTATGTGCTAATCACCTCATCAAACATGTATCTTTTCCAGCAGAGCTCACTGTTAGATTTTATAAACTGGCTTCCTTTTAGGGGCCTCCCTCTCTTTCCTTTTAGCCTCAGTTTCATAAACAGAGAATGAACCTGGCTGCTTAGGAGTCTAAGGAATTTGCCTTATAATATTTAAGAAGAAAGTGGAAAAGAAAGGCAGGAGAAAGAAGCAAACTTTCAATATTTCATAAGCAATTTTCTTTCCTTTTTTTCCTCCAGAATCTTTATCCTTTGTTTCATTTCTTTCCATCTTGGGAAAATACCATAGTATCAGAGATAAGCCCTATCACTTGTGCTTCCTGTAAAGACACGGAAAAATGAAGGAGAATAAAGCTTAAAAGTCAAGAAGTGAGAGAGATTAAATCAGATCCAGAGAGACAAGTTCAGCCTGGGACCCACCAGTGGTTCATTGCCTTGCCATAAAAACTGCATTTGAAGTGCCATGTTACCAAGACTTTATGCAGAAAGAAGAAAATGCAATTCAAATTGCTGACAGGTGTGAGATATGAATTCAGAAATCAGGCTCCCAACTAGCATTGCCCAAGAGCTAGGTGAATGCCAATCAGAAGAGCTTAATAGTGCCAGGAATTTGTTTTTACCAGTGGCAGAGTAGTTAATAGTTTGGCTTCTACTCTAAAGTAGAAATTGGAATTACAGACTCATTTGTAGTCTATGATTAGACTAAATTTAATGAGATGAGGGATTAAAACTTGGCTAATCTGTTTTTCTTGGGGTGAAGAGCACTAAGGATTAATAAGAGTGCATGAAGGGTAAAAGTGATTTAGAGGAGGGTGAAATGGGGAAAAGAAATGCTAATCGGGGGAAAACTGAAAAACTAGTCAAGCCTAAGTAAGGGAAAAAAATCGAAAGACATTGAGAGAAAAGTAGAAGGAAACAAGAAAGTACATGAAAGAAAACAAACAGGGAAAATAGTTAATACTTCTTTAGAAACTGCCAATTTTGCATATTATACTATCTTTGTGATCTAACATACTCAAAGTAGGATTTGGCTGCTAATTTGCTGTGTTTTCTTGATTTCCAGAGCTCTATTTCAAGTTGCCTGATAGCTTGATAAGCACCCAGGGCCACAAAAATATCAGCTCCTAACTGCCAAAAAGGCCTTGTGACAATTAGTTACGCCCTTCTCATCCCAGCGCCCTGCTATGTTTGCACACACATTTATAGTCGAGGAAACTGAGGCCAGAGAGAGGAGATGATATGTTCATGTAACTGAGGCAGTACAGTTAGAACACAAACCTGGGTCTTTTGCTTCTAGCTTTAGTTTCAACAGCTGAATTCTTCATCTTTCCTTTCTAAATTTGCTCCAATTCCTTTCCCCAGGTTGTTTCATGGACTTACGCCTTCTAGTCATGTTGTCTCCCAAACTATCATCCTCAGGTTTTTTTTTCTTCTCCCTATAGGTAGACCATCAATAACTTGTTGACCGTGATATCATGTCCTTCTTTCCACTCTTTTCTGTGTTTGAGATGGTCTCGCTATGTAGTTCAGGCTGGCCTTGAACTCATAATATAACTCAGGATGGCCTCAAACTTGTGGCAATCTTCCTGCCTCAGCCTCCTAAGTTCTGGGGTTACAGATGTGTGCCACCAGCCCTCCTCCTTCTTTCCATTAGAACCGCTTCTTACTTGGTTCACATCTCTGGCACCCTCCATCTGAACTATTATCACAGCTACTTAATGGTCTCTGGACTTCTAGCCTCCTTTTTCTTCTGGTAGTGATTGATTGTAGTCAGAATATCATCCTAACACATGACACTAATTTTTTAATCCCCCCCCAGCAGCTGCTCTTTAGCTTCCCAACATTGTATCCAAATTTCTAAACAAGATTTAAATTTTCCATAATGTGGTTCCTGCCTTGCTTTCCAGCTGCATCCCTTATGACTCTTAAACTGAACTGTTCATTTGTTGTTCAGGCTTACACCATCCCTTTTACCCAAGATATCATTTCCCCTCTTCTAACTCAATTTTGTCTCTTGAAAGTCTTTCTTGATTTCCCCTCCTAGGCTAATGTGCTCTCCATTTTTTTCCTAAAGTATACATAAAACATTTATGTTAGTAAATAACAATGACTTACGTTATTAAATAACAGTGATTTATATTATTTCTGCACACGTCTCAAGGCCCGGTAACGTGTCCTTCTCTCTCTCCTCTCTCTCTCCCTCTCTGCTCTCCTCTTCTCCCTTTCCCTCTCCCTCCCCTTCTCCCTCCCCTCCCCTTCTGTCTCTCCCTCTCTCTCCCAGAGCCTGCATATATAATAAGCATGGAACACTTATTCAGTTAAGCAAAACTGAGTTTAAGCACTGTATCTAGCCACTAAACCATTAAGGTGTTCTTAAAAATTTGGTTTGTGTCAACAAAATCCAACACCCATTCATGATAAAAACACTACAGAAAATTGGAATAGAAGGTCTTTATCTTAACCTAATTAAGGCTATCTATGACAAATCAACAGCCAACATCATACTAAATGGTCAAAAACTGAAATCCTTCACACTAAAATCAGGAACAAGACAAAGATGCCCACTATCACCACTCCTGTTCAATATAGTTCTGGAAACATTAGCCACAGCCATTAGAAAAGAGAAAGAAATAAAGGGAATAAAGATAGGAAAGGAAGAAGTTAAACTGTCATTATTTGCTGATGATATGATACTTTACATAAAAGACCCAAAAAACTCTACCAAAAGACTTCTAGACTTAATTGACAAATTCAGTAGAGTAGCTGGATATAAGATCAACACTCAAAAAACAATAGCCTTCTTATACACAAATACCAGACTCACTGAGAGAGAAATTAGGGAAACAATTCCTTTTATGATAGCATCCAAACAAATGAAATATCTAGGAATCAGTCTAACAAAGGAAGCAAAAGACCTCTACACTGAAAACTACAGCACCCTGAAAAAGGAGATCGAGGAGGATATAAGAAAATGGAAAGACATCCCTTGTTCCTGGGTAGGAAGAATCAATATAGTGAAAATGGCCATACTTCCAAAACTACTATATAGATTTAATGCAATGTCAATTGAAATTCCAACAATATACTTCACAGAACTAGAGAAAACAATCCAAAAATTCATTTGGAACCAGAAGAGACCTAGAATAGCAAAAGCAATTCTGGGCAACAGAGACATGGCTGGGGGTATCCCAATACCCAACTTGAAGCTATACTACAAAGCTACTGTGATAAAAACAGCATGGTACTGGCAAAGAAACAGACCCGAGGATCAGTGGAATAGATTAGAAGATGCAGAAACAACTCCAGACATACTCAGCCACCTCATCTTTGACAAAGGAGCCAACCACCCTCTTGGAGGAAAGATAGATTATTTAATAAATGGTGTTGGAAAAATTGGATTTTAACCTGTCAGAGATTAAAACTAGACCCATATCTATCACCATGCACTAAACTAAGATCAAAGTGGATTAAAGATCTAAATATTAAGACAGAAACACTAAACTTTCTGGAAGATAAGTTAGGTAGAACTCTTGAAGACATTGGCATAGGAAAAGACTTTATGAACAAAACCTCAGTAGCATGGGAACTAGCACAAAGAATCAACAACTGGGATCTCATCTTATTAAAAAGCTTCTGCACTGCAAGAGAAACCACCAACAGAGCTAAGACACAACCTACAATGTGGGAAAAATTTTTTAGCAGCTATAACTCAGACAAAGGGCTACTATCTAGAATGTATAAAGAACTAAAAAATATCAGACTCCCCAAATTCAAAGACCCAGTTCAAAAATGGGCATCTGAAATGAACAGACATTTCTCAGACAAAGAAGTAAAAGCAGCAAATAAACATATGAAAAAATGTTCAACATCACTGGTCATCCGAGAGATGCAGATGAAAACAACACTGAGATTCCACCTCACCCCAGAAAGAATGGCTGCTATCAAGAAATCAACCAATAACAAATGCTGGCAGGGATGTCTTCTCCATTGTTGGTGGGAGTGCAGACTGGTGCAACCACTGTGGAAATCAGTATGGAGATACCTCAAAGAACTAGGGCTGGAGGTCCCATTTGACCCAGCTATGCCCCTGCTGGGTATTTTCCCAAAAGAATTAAAAGAATCATACCACAGAGATATATGTGCACCCATGTTTATTGCGGCACAGTTTGTAATAGCTAAAGCTTGGAAACAACCCAAATGCCCATCAACTGGAAACTGGATAAAGAAGATATGGTTTTTTTATAAAATGGAATAGTACTCAGCCATAAAGAACGAGAAACTAGAGTCATTTATAGCTAAATGGATGCATATTGAGGCCATACTCTTAAGTCAAATAAATAAGACACACATGTGTAAATACCGAATAGTTTCACTAGTGTGAGAAACTAAGAGTGTAAATAAGGATTAAAAGGATTAATAACTAATAATTGATACTTTGAAATAGGAAAAGGTCCCAAGAGGTAGGGGCAGTGGGGGGAGATGGGGAAAGGGAAGAATGGAAAGGAAAAATTATGAGAAAAGAAATAAAAAATGGAAACAAAGTCTTTGTAAATAGGGAAGGGTGCACAGGTAATGGGGAAAAAATAAGAATTAAGATACATCATGTACAGGTAAAAGCACCCAATTATAAATGTAAACATACTGTATACCTAAAATGTACCAATAAAAGAATTTAAGCAAAAATAAAAAAATTTGATTTGTGCCAGGTGATAGGTGAAAGAATTAGTTACACATAGGCAAAGATAATGATATCAATGCCCTACATTAACTCAAGAATTCCACAACTAAATAAATGAATCCTCAGAATGTACATAAATTATACTAATTAGAATACTAGTAATAAGGCTGCCATTGGATTTACCTTTGCCTTTAGCAAATAAGAGGAAAATATTTGCCCATACTGGAAATCTTTAAATATTTAGTTTGATTTCTTTATGAAATCCAAACCAGGGTAGAAGTTAATAGACGAAAATTCTATAAACTGCAAAGGCAATGTTGCATTTTTCTCATAAACTACAATAGCATTTTCCTTCAGTGTTCTTGTTTGATTATGTGGATTGCAATATAGGCATCATTTTATGGTATTTTTGGACACTGATGATCAATGAGAAGATCTAAAGACAAATCCCATTTGTGTAAAAACCTATCCTATTCGCTGGGGATTTACCTCAGTGGTGCCAGAACCTGCCTCACAAGTGCAAGGTCCCGAGTTCAATCCCCAGTACCAAAAAAAACCCAACCAAACAAAAACATATTCTTTTAGTCCTTCTTTGTAGGACTGACTCCTATAAATGTGCCTATAAATACTTTCAAGTATCTTGCTTTTTGAAGTAATAATTTGTTTATTTGTTTTTTGAGACAGGGTATCGCTTTGTAGGACAGGCTGGATTTGAACTCACTATGTAGCCCAGGCTAGCCTCAAACTCATAGGGATCCTCCGGCCTCAGCCTCTTGAGAACTGGGATTATAGGCATGCACCATCATGTCCAGCATGAAGTAGTAGCACTTTTTCCTTTTCATTTAAATTGAGTTAAATATTCCTTTGTGTTTCTTATATAATATTAAAAGAATATACATAAAAATGTGCATGACTAAAGCTGAGGCCTATTCCATTTTCCAGGTTAGAAAGTAACTGCAAAGGGAAAGATCCCTACACACACCTGTAAGACAACATCTGTAAATGTGTGTTGTTACAAGTTAAAGATTCTTTGACCTGGGAATATGTAAAGAAGCAACTGTTTTTCACCCCTTTCCCCAACATGAAATACTATCACCTGGCAGTCAGTGAGAGGCTAAAGATGTAAGCAGAAAGAAAAAAGGAGCTAAATGATCTTAATTTTCCAAAAATTTAATTGTGGGCAATCCCCCTTACCCATCAGCAGACATGGGAGGTCTTATTATTATTGTAGCTTGAAGTCTGTCTGCAGAACTAGCGTTGGTTCAGGAATGATGAGTTAGATTCAGGGAACTAGAAAACTGAATGCTACCAGCACAGAAAAAGAAACCTTTAGTAATGCCTGTCACTTAGAAGAAGAGTTTCTCCATTGCAGGGTTCTCAGAATGGAGTAAAGGCAAGAAAGAGAGTGCAACAAAAAGTCTAGCTGGAGTCCTTTGCTCTTAACTACTCCAGAGGTGACTCTTGGACACCAAGGATCACAATAAAACATGTAGTGGAATTTGTTCCATATCTGAAGTGTCTGAATCAGTTCTCATGCTCCTGTGAAAACAAACTGAGCATTTAAAAAATTTGCCAGTGTAACACAAATATTTATAAAAGAATTACGAGGTATGAGATAACTAGTTATTTTCTAAGTGGTTTGTGGGTAATAATGAATCATGTTTAGCAAGACAAGGCTGTTATTGATTATAATACTAGAGTAAAACTATTTACAGGTTACCAACCCATAAAAGGCATAAAAATGAATTGTGTGTAATA